ACCCATAAACAATGAACTAAAATAAAAATCAATTAGATCTCACAATGTTTATAAAATCAAAGCTTCCCTAACCTTTCAATCAGAAAATAAAACCTTACAAACACTTCATGATGAAATCGTAGCTTCTAGATGAGAGGGGGTGAACTCTGCTTCTTCCTCGGTTGCTAATTGCTCTCTTTGAAGGTTGAAGCTCTTTTGGAGGATTTGATGATGCCTTGGGTGTTAGTCCGCTCCACCCCCCTTTATATAGCTTTAGGAAGAGGGATTGTTTCCAACTCCTTTTTGGAGTTCTTTCTCAAAAATAGAAAGTCTTATTTCCTAATGGGATAATGATTAATTCAAATCTAATCTTATCCTTATCTCTAAACAAAAATCCTTAACTAAGATGGACTCTAACTCTCTCTTTCTTTTTCTTTTTAGAAATACAGCAAGAATTTGAATCTAATAAAACTCTTTGATGATTCATCCGAATTCTTATTCTTGCATGCTAAATTCGTATTGGGCTTTCTCAACGATTTGGGCCGCTGCAAGGCTTCTCTATGAACTGGGCTTTTGCTACGAATTTGCTTAGACTTTGGGCCCGATTTTGACCTCGATGCAGTCCGAATCTATCAAAACTCAAAACATGAAAATTGTAGAGTTTTTCCCTCCCTATATTTCCAATGCATCTTGAATCATCTCAGTCGGAGTCCGGATGAGAGAGTTATACCCAAATTACCACGCGACACCGAAGCTGTGAAAAATTACCCGATCAGGTTTGTTTTTCTCCTAGCGCTTCCTTTCGTGCCCTAAATCAAAACACAAGAATAGTGAGTCCAATTAGGTACTAAAGAAGTATAAAAGACTGAATATTAAGGGGTAAAATATGATAATTTTCATTCTCATAAAAAATGAACAAAAAAACAATCAAATAAAATGATTTCAGATATAAAATGAACAAAACCAAATGATTTCAAATATAAATTCGAGTTAAAATGATATCAATGGTGTTCTTGTGAGTTTTGTGACAAGTTGGTCGGAGTGCTGTTGACTGCTATTGGGAGATAGGAGATGAATCCACTTTCCTAGTCGTTAGTCGCCACTATTGAGCATTGAGGATGGGTCATCGGTCGCCACTGTTGAGTGTTGAGGATAGGTCATTGGTCGCCGTTGTTGAGAATGGGGTCGCCAGTCACCACCATTGTTGAGGATGGGGTCATTGGTTGCTGGTTGCTGTTGTTGATGATAGTCTAGTTAGATGCTCGTCGACTACATAGGAGGGTTGAGGAGGGAACTATCGAATGAAAACTGAGAAGTATGAAAGATGTTAGGGGGAGAGTATCGACAATCGAGTGAAAACTAGGGTTAGAAAATAAAAAAATATTATTATATTTTTAATAATATATGTGTTATTTTAATATTGTCGGGTCAAGCTGGGCTTTCATGTAAAATCCCAAGCCCAGCTTGAAATTATGTTGGGCTTAGATCATTGGGCTTGAGCCCAGCCTGTGGGCCTAATAATATGTCCAAGCTTGTCTAGGGCCAAGTCGAGCCATTGGGCTACCCAGCCCATGAACAGGTCTAATTGTAACACATTTGCTCCAACCATACAATGAATTGAAGTATTGGAGAATTGTCATGATGAATGACATCACCATAAAGTGTTTATTTCTAGACCACAATTGCTCTTATGCATAATGAACTGTAAGAAAGTTTCTATATATATCCCCACATGGCTCTTCTATAGATATTTTTGGTTCACCCACTTGGTGGTCATCCTCATTTATCCCTCAAGCATCTTTCTCACATTTTCCTTGCCTCACTTAATAAAAATATTTTTATAATTATTTTCAAATTAACTATAAGTTAATTTTATAATTAAATATTTCAAAATTAATTGAAAAATTTTAAATTCAAAATTAACAAAAAGCACTTTAGGCTACACTAACTTTGTTGCAAGTTTTTTTTTGCAATATTTTCCAATCTTTTAGGATGTTTAGGTCCAATGTTGTCAAAAAAAAAAAAAACTTTCTTGTGAAAGAATGTAATGGTAGGAAAGAGTTTTGTAGACATCTCACATAAACATCAATAAAACATGAAAAAAATGTTGCCAAATAACATTTTTTATGATGTTGAAAACAAACATCACAATTTTTTTTCTTTTTTTTTGTGGAAAGTTACAATGCCAAGGGAAAAGTTTCAACAATGTTTTATCTTAAGCATCGTTAAAACATAAAATAACATCATGAAAACTCATATATGGCAACAATTATATATAACAGTTGCCTCAAGTATTTTTTGTGACATTTATTTTTAATGTTATAAAATGTTACCTTTTAACGACATTTAGGGATTGTTTGGCATGTCTTTTCGTGCGGTATTTCAGCTGTTTGCAAGCCAAGCAACCGATTTTTGGTCTATATCTGTTTGGTTCACAGAAGATCTAACCGCCAAAAGCCAAAGCGTCAAAAAGACGTGAAAAGCCCATTTTGGACTGATTTCGAGAAGCTTCAAATGAAGCTTTTCACGTCTTTTGCGTTTTATTGTTGCACGACAAGACGTATGGAAACATGTGTGTCTGGTTGCTCAGATCTTCATGCAAAAGCTCAATGTATCTTTTGACTGCTCAGATCTTCATGCAAAAGCTCAATGTATCTTTTGACTGTCAGAGCTATACCAAAAGATCTTCCCAGAAAGACATGCCAAACAGGCCCTTATTCTAAACACTGCCAAAAGAGCATCACCAAATTCCCTTTTTCTTTTGTATTTTTTTTTTGTAGTGTTTATATCCAAATTAACAAAAAAATCATCCTCCAATTTTCTTAGGCTTGTACCTCAATAGCATGGTTCAAAGTATCAATATTCATTATACAAAAAACATCATATATGGTTATCAGAAAGATATGATATCGCTGGCTAGTCAACTAGAATCATAAATTGGGTAGCCAATCAGGTGCTATTTATCAAAATTTATATATGGTTTTGAATATTTGGTCAAAACTCTTTTGATACCATGTCTTTCCTGCATCATAAATTTTCCCCTAAAGAAAAGCAATAGTTGGACTTTTGACATCGTTTCAATTAAAATCTAATGGAATTTTAGAATTGTGATTCTAGAAAATGTAAAAAGGTAGTAATTCTAGATTTTGAAGTTTGTATTTTTATTAAGAGTCTATAGATTCAAGTATTATACAAGTTATTTTCAATTTGTGATATATAATATCAAAATCATTTTTATTTATTTTATTAATAATATATAATATTTTGATAATTTTTAGTTTAATTTATTAATAATATTCAATCAAAAATTTAAATATCAACATAATACGCCTAATACAGGAAACACTACAACTAAACCCGATACTAACATGTTTCCACTTCTACGTTGTTTAAAAGGTGCACAGTGGGGTGATTCAATTCCCAAGCTTTATAGCACATGCACTTTATACACAACTTTAAGGCACAAGGCCAACCTTCATCTTGTGATAATTAATGAAATAAAATAAATTTTATCTAAACATATAAATGTAATCCAAATAAATAATATACATTTATGTTCAATAACTTCAACTAAATATGAAAAAAAATAATATTCAAAATTATTATTTTCTAAACTAATGGAATAAATTTATAAATCCATATTTATATCAAAAAGTGGTTTTAATGTCACGAAATGTATACAAATAAAAATTTATAATAGAATAATTATGTTAATACCTAAAAATTATAAAATTGAACATGATATGTACGCTATTTTTTTAATTATTAATTAATATTTTAATTTGCATTAAATAAAAATATTATTTACAAAATATTTGAGAATATAATATAAATTGAATTTGTCACATCGGCTAATTTACTTTCATAACAAAAAATGATTATTTTACTTCATAATATATATATATATATATTAATGGAATAATTATTTTAATAATTAAAAAATATCAATTTGCATATGACATGTATCTTAGAAATTTTAATATATTTGACATATTTTGAGTTAAAATTATAAAATTATTGTTTACCAAACATTTGAGAATTAATTTTAATTGACTATTTTTGTTAATGTTAAAAAGTAAAAATAATAAAATAAAAATAATTGATATAATAATTTAGATATAATATATATTTGCATATGTTTTAAAATAATATAATAATAACTTTGTACTTGTATTAATTTGTAAAAAGAAATATAAAAGGTTGTAGCACTCTTAAATGATACATTATCACTGAAATTATATGATTTTTATATATCCTGCTATATTGATTGCAATATATTTATACAATTCATTTTCCTTATAGCCGTACATACAGGAGATATGATAACATACAAGAAAAAACAAAAAAGAATTGGATTATCTGAACGCAATGGAACCCATGAGTGTCATTTGTTAGCTTAGGTAATTTGTCATGCTAGTGCCTTTTTGTTATCCTTTTCTTGTTAGTAGTCTGTTAAGAGTCAGTCACTCGGTTGTTGCCTTGTGGGCTTAGTGGGTTCCATGGGCTTACATTCATGGAGGGGATTATGTGGTTCTATTTCGAGGGAAGTTGTTGGAATAATCACTCAATGTGGGTCTTTGTTAGTGGGCTCATAGATCATGTATTTAAGCTGTATATTATCTCAAATTTGAACTCTTGTTAGCTTGACCAAGTTTGAGAGTGCTTTATTTGAATAAGTAGGTGCTCATTAGAATAAACACTTACAAATAAACTCAAAATTTAAGGCTTTTTAAATAAATGATTATTTTCAAAATAAATACTTATTTCCCAATCAAGTGCTTATTTAAATAAGATATTTTTAAGCATTCCCAAACTTAGCAATGTAGGAATGCATTTCATAGTCAAATTTTGAATCAAATTTAGATATAGGCATATTTGAAAGAGATGCGATTTCATATTCTGCTTGGATTCATGTAAAAAGGTCACAATTAATACTGAGATTTTTGAGATTCTGATTAGTCTTCCAGACCAGGTGGATATAAACACTTGATTGTCATTCTATATGGTAATTACACATTCTGCTATACAGTACTAGCCCCTTGATGTGGCCAATCCCGATCCCCCCCTCCCCAACCATTGCAGTCGACCTTGAGACTGTGGGCAAAGAAAGTTGAGAAAGCCTCCATTTTGAGCGCAGGCAGAGCCAACCCCACCTCAACTGCCCCTTTTCCATCTCTGCTATCATAAAGAGAAAAATGTCCCTCACCCATTCCTATTGTTTCATACTTGTTTGGTTTCCCCCACCCAAAATCCATCTCATAAACCCCAAACCTGGGATATCCCGCCACCGTAACCATTCCCTCCCTACAACGCAAGATCACCTGATTCACCTCTGATATCCACCACTCTCCACCCCTCAACACTAGTCCATCTTCAAACCTCTTTATCCCATCAGAAATCGCCTTTGCCGCAATAACAATGCCATCTTCTCCTGTTAAATCACTCTTCTTTGCATCTGCGTAGCCAGGAGCAACACAATTGCCCATGTACGTAGCTGGCACTGCAGGATCCCTTAAGCGATCTCTACAATCTACGCTAAATATGAAGTGCTCCATCTCTTTATTAGGAGAATCCTTCGTCGCTCCTGCCTTAATCAAACAAACCCAGGTGACAGCACACATTACTACGAAAGCTGAGAGATGCAATGGTGCTGCTACATTCTGATCTTCGTCCTTCCTTTGTCTTGCCAAGACCCATTGCTTCAGGTGGTCAATTTCCTCTCGGCTCACCACAAAAGTGGCTTTAGGAACTCTACTTTCAGTTGGGACAACTTCGGAGTTGGAGCTTTGTTTAGAGGAGGAGGAGGAGGATTTCCCTTTGTTGGGCTTCAAATTTTCAATTTCCTTGCGCCAAACTGTTTTAATAAGACCATCAGGGTCATCAATCACAGTTCTGTCATAGAATGGAAGCGATGCGGACGACAAAGGTGAATCCCCTCCAAGCCTACATACAGTTGCCCACGACCTAATGAAATGGAAAAGGCTTCTTCCATCAGCAACCACATGGCTTGAAGTAATTCCGATGCTGAAGCCAGAGTTGGGAAACAAGGTCACTTGTATGGCTAACAGTGGGACTGTTTGGGAGTCGGAGAGTGATGGTAGTTGAGGAACCAGAGGGTGGAATCGATTCTCATCGCGAGGATGGTGACCGCAGAGATAATTGAAATCGTCACTTGATTCAGCAATGGTAAGCGAGATTGAGTCACCATTAACATAGCGGAGCTCGGGTTCAGTGGATGGAAGAAGCTGCGTTAGGTTTCCGGCAAGAATGTAGAAGTGTTGGAGGGCGAGGGAGAGTGAGTTTTTGAGGTTGGGAATGATGCTTTCTGTGAGGAGGATAACTGGATGGGGGAATTCATAAAATAAGAGACGGGAGGGACGACGGAAGTACAGCCACATGACATCGAAGAAAGTAAGCTGAAGAGACTTTTGCTCGATTGAAGTTGCAGGTGGAGAGACCTGGCATTTCTCCAACACCTTGATGGACTGGATGGCAGCCATGAGAGATAGAGCTGTACTCTGTAGCTAGTTAGTGTGAATATTTTTCCGGTTTTCAGATGGAAGATGGCACCGACTGGCATCAGATTTTCATCATCAGTATTCTATCTTATCACAAAATTCAACAGACACCTTTATTAACTCTCAACGATTCCACCATGACTGCAACTCGAGACTGCTTTGTAAATACACCATTGTTGCGCACGTCAATGGTGTATTTACAAATGCAGCCACGTTTCGTACATATGTTGTGACGTGTTCAATGCGTGTGCATTGCATGCAAATGCAGCCATGTTTCGAACATATGGCATCATGCACATGCAGGTGCGGCCACGTAATTGAAGCTATGGAAGGCGTTATCCAATAGAAGCAGGCCATGTGTTTAGAGTTAGACAGGGATGTGCTACCCCTCCTCTCCCATTTTGTAGCCCTATAAAGGAAAAAATGTGAAAGAAAATAAAGGCTAATGTTAACTACTTTCTTACTTATTGTATTTTATTATTGAACCATAACAATCGATGAAGCAAATTTACATTAAATTAATAAAGAAGAGAGAAAAAATCTGATAACTCACGAAAAGGAGTAGTGGTTTCTTTAAACTTTTATAGAAAAAGATTGGTTCATCCCATGTATTGGGTGGGAAAATTTAGATTTAATATTAGTTTGGGTTCTAGCTAGCTAGAGTTCATATTTAATGTTGGCCTTTATACTTAACCTAACTTAATCCATATAATTTATACTATTACTTTATTAGAGAAAGTAAAAAAGGATCAAAAAATTTAAGAGGAAAAGAGAGATTTAATGGGGATTGAGGAGTGAAATGTTAAAAACATTGATTTTATGAGATAGTAAATATGGATTTTATGAGAGATAATAAAGACCCATGTGGTTTTAATTTTGACTTGCTATATTTTTAATGATTTAATCTATATCCATAACACTATTAAAAGTGTGAATGAGAATGTGAAACTTTTGTTTAACTAAAATACTCCAATTTTTTAATTTGGTCCTACTTGATTGCAAGGAAAGAAATGTAGTTTGAACAACCACTTTTCTCCTCATTTAAATCCTTCTCATTAAGTCTTACATTTAAGATATTAACTCCCATCAACATTCATTGAATCCAATTCTTGAGTAGAATACTCAATTTGGTCTCTCTAATTGTGAGAGCATAAAATGTAATTTGAGCTATTATATTTCTTTTCATTCAATTTCCTCTCCTTAAGTCTTATATTTAGGGTATTAACCCTCATTATTTTATTGAATCTTATATTAAGTAACCATATTAAAAATTAAAAAAAAAAATAAGTGTTATAAAGAATAATTGTTTTTATTGATACTAGAAATAAAATACAAATTTAAAATTAACCAAAAATGAAGTTGTTTTCCTATTTAGTGGCAAGTCAATAATTCAACATTTTGAATCAAATATGTCAACCCTTGATGTCACAATTAAACCTAATAATAATTAAAAAAGATAGAAACATAAAATAGTATAAAAATATAAAAATATGTAAAAACACATTTGGACACATCTCTAATATTATATATTCGTCATATTAAACAAAAATAAGTATGACTACTTGAAAAGAATTAGTTTTATAAACATAAAAGTATACAAAAAATATAAAAAATTGAAAATATATTATTTATTATTGTAAAAAATTTCTGTTTAAAAACATGTACACACTAATTTAAAAATAAATTTGCACATATGTGGGGAAGGAAAAGAAGAGAAATTACATATAAACTCTGTAGTGAGAAAATCCCTCACCTCCCCTCTCTCTCCTCTATCTATTAAGAGAGATTCATGGGTCCTTGCCCTGATTTCATTTCTAGTGTTATAAACTCTGATATGGATGATTCTGTAAACTCTTGTTTTACTTGAATGGTATTGCCTTGGGCTTTACGAAAAAGTTAATAGACCGAAAACCAAAAGCCTGATTGCGAGTACTAAACCCAGCCCATCATTATCACTATGAATAAATTGCGTTTTGAAGCTGATCATTTAAGAAAACTCGTGAGATAAGGACAAGGGTCATGGGTGGGTACCCAGATTCTTTTTTTATAATAAAAAGAATTACTTCATTAAAGTAGGTAGAAAAACAGAAAGAAGGGGGATGCCCACCCACTCATCGGTGGGAGTACTACTAGTAGGAAGAGTATGGGTTACCGAGTTAAAAGTTCTAGGAGATAACTGAATCAAAAAGACTTAATTCCTGCTTTATATCTTCCTTGATAAATCACAGGTCATTCGAATACGGAGTAAGAGGGTTGCCTAAACTCTTCATCAACTTCTTGCAATTGCAAAAAACTTGCAAAGAAGTAAGATTGAGTGATCTAGCTAGTTGAAGACCTTCCAAAGAAGCATTAGCTTCTGCAAAAAGGGCTGAGAATATGTGGATTTGTTGAGGCCTTCGCTGCTAAGAAGTTTCCAAAATTGTCAATTATAAAGCTACCAGAGCCTGCAAAATGCCCTGTAACAAAGCTTCTATCTGTCTAAAGACAAGCCATGCACACCACTGCTGCGGCCTCTAGTGATGCCAGCTCTCTAAAATGTAAGACTTTGAGGCTTGGGTGGATTCTACGCTTTCTACTATGATTATAGGATTTCCTTTATGAATTTAAGAGAATGATGAATATCAATTAATACATTTTCAAAATCAAACATGTTATGGTACCATTCTCCTACCCAATGGATGCCCCTAGACTCTGAATATTCCACACCATTTACCTCACCAAAGTTGTAAAGGGTTCGGAGGTTAGCTCCCGCAGAGTGCACTCCACAGTCCACACGTGTCCCACAGCACATCGGACGGGAGATGCATGGGTTCTGATGTGCTGTGGGGGACGTGTGAGGTGCACTTTATGGAGAGCGAATGCAAATTCAAGTTATAAACTAATAAACCCTAATTTCACACATTTTTTATTACTTTTCAGTATCATGTATTTCCGGCATCCATTATAATGGATCCCCATTTCAAGGAGTACGATAAAATGAGGTTAGGGTATTGCTTTATTTAGGAGTATGATAAAATGTTTTATGATTTGACTCGATATCGGAAAAAATAAACCACTATCATAAAACTGGTAACTATTCATCACAATTTACAGGTACGTGGTTTTGAATTTAGGCCTGGCAATTTATCTAGGCATGGCAACAGGGCAGGTTTAGAAGGATTAATCTTATTCTTTTTCTTAATTCTCTCAATTCATACTTGTTTCAAAACCTGTTGTGGGCTGGATTTTGAGAATGCAAATCCTTTTTATACATAAAAATGCAAAACCCTCCTCAAGCCTACCTTTTCTGCATTCAAAGGTAGGGATGGGTTGGGTTTAGAATCTGCATTTGGACAAAGTAAATCATTAAACACCATTCCCCATTTGTTTTTCAGACAAAGTAAGGCAAAAAGGCTGAAATGAAGTAAAATTAATGCATTATGTCTACATTTTTTTATTTGGAATGATGATGAAAGGAAGGTATTTGTGCCTTTTTTTTAATAATAGGGGAGTTTTTTGTTAAGGCCAAAACACTAGGGCGATTCATAGGATTATTAAAAGACCCAAGGAAGTTTTCATAATTTTCCTAATTTTTAAATGGAATTTCAATTAATTTTAAAATCATTAAACTATATTTATAATTGATATTTTATATTAATTTTTGAAACTAGTAAAAAATAAATTTAATTAATTATATTAAGTTTTTTATTAAATTTATATTCCTTATGAAATTTAATTAAATACATTAATTTTTTATTTTTTAGTAAAACTTAAGTTGGTTTTAAATTAGTAAAAATTAATTAGAAAACTATTAATTTGTAGATAATTTTTTATTTTTTTTTATTTTGTAGCCGAATCCTACAAAATTCTTTTAAATTTTTCTAAATTCATTAATTTTATCTATATCTATATCAATATCAATTGAACTATATATATATATATATATATTAGATATTTTACGTGTTAAACTATAATTATTAGTAAAGATTAATTATATTGAAATTGAGATATTCAATGATACATTATTACACTAAGTATCTACTTCCATTTAAAATTATAATCCACTTATGTTCCAGTTGAAATTGTGACATTCAATGATACATTATTACACTAAGTATCTACTTCCATTTAAAATAATTTTACTAAATTATTTTTATTATGATTAATTAATTTTTATTATTTTCCACTGGAACATAAATGGATTATAATTTTAAATGGAAGTAGATACTTAATGTAATAATGTATCATTGAATATCTCAATTTCAATATAATTAATCTTTACTAATAATTATAGTTTAACACGTAAAATATCTAATATATATATATATAGTTCAATTGATATTGATATAGATATTGATAAAATTAATGAATTTAGAAAAATTTAAAAGAATTTTGTAGGATTCGGCTATCCATATGATAAATCTCTCATCCCTTCAATAATTGTTATCCACTTAAAGAGTCCAGATCCAAATAGAGATTTGAATCAAGGAACTCCTAATTTGATTAGGAATAGTTGATCTTTATCTGCAAATAAGATAAGGGATTATCCTTATCATTTAAAGAGTTCAGATCCAAATAAAGATTTGGATCAAGAGACTCCTAATCAGATTAGGAGGTCACCTGTTTAAGGCTATAAATAGAGAGCAGGGCGGATCAGAAAAAGACACACATACAACACAGATGGCAATTCAATTTGACTGTTTCTGCCTTCAGTTCTTTTTCTCCCTACTCCTACCACCCTACCCTATTCGATCTCCAATTCTTGGAACTGATAAAGATTTTATCTTGATATTGTTTCTTGCTAGAAGAAACAATTATGAAGTTGTACTCACTACCCCATTCGATTCCTGCTGAAGAATAATAAGTTCTTGGTGAAGAACTACCTGCTAATCATGCCTCTTCCTAAGTTGTGTCATCTTCAGTGGATGGAGGATTTGATACACTCTTTGGGCATGAACACCTGCGTTGGAAGGAGCTTTTGGAATGAATTCAATATCAGGTAC